TCATTTAGTGTTTATTTGTCTGCAAAATCTACGCTTATCCATACAAGCAGATCTGTTTATATCCTCTAATTTTTGGGTCGCTGAAGAAAGAACGTTGCTTATTTTCTTGAGATTATGAGATTTTATCACCAAAAGTTTTGTTTGAGTGCGCGATCACTTAAATCCCTTTCAAGTGGCAATTTCAGCTGCCCTATCAGTCTTCCTCTGGCACGGCACCAAGGCCTCTTTTAGGCAATGTAGACCTCAAAATACTGAATTAATGGAGTAAGGAAAATGCTTGGAATCCCGAAACATTTGTAGTTCTTTCAATAAGAAACGTATCAATGGACTCACTTGCGAATTTGCTCAAGATGCCTGTTGGGATTTTGCAAGTTTCTGATGGGGATAGGATCATTTTATCCAACTGCTTCTCAAATATTTTGGCGCAAAATTATCCCATAAAAGTAATTGCATTCGATGTGAGAGTTAACGTTTCCTCGTTTCACCTGCAGAAGAAAGTCGTGAATTTATCATGTTACCTTTACTGACATTTGGCATTGGGTGACCGCACTGCACGTATGTAGGTGTCACTGCAACTCAAATCTATAGATTTTCGTCTCAAGAGCATTTTGGATGTGACGACAGGTGAGACAATAACGGCTTGACACGGAGCCACAGCATTGTGATTTTAGAAGTACACGGCATCTCTATTTTGCTGCTTCTTGTCAAAAGACTTTCGACATTATGATAACGGTGTTCTCATCAGCCTGTGTACAAGGTGGGGAGGAGTTTGGCCAAAAATATATCCCAGCCATCGCCCAAACACAGCTTCCTGGCTGTTCATCCATCTTTGCAGCAATCTCCCTGAAGGTGACTTCTTGCTCCCTTCAACAAATACCGCGTCAAAATGGTCCTCCACAACGGCGTTCAAGGCACAGTGTGAGGTCAGTACAGCTTTAGAAATCTAAGAATGCACTTATTTTCCTGTACTCGAATGAGTAATCGACGTTGTCCAGTCAGCGCATTTCTTTGAAATATAAAATTTAACCTAGCAAGAGAGGATTTTAAAACGTTAGGCATTATTGATGTGTAATATGGAATTAATCGGAAACACCTGGAAGGCAAGAAATACCGATTGAACAGGTGGAATCCAAAAGGCGGTGTGGAATTGTGCGCGTTTTGAAGTGGAAGCCATCAGCTCGTCACATGAACTCTGGATCGATGATGCAACGGCTTTCAAAATCACCGCGATGCGATGCGTCAGGAGGAGGAGGAGGCGAGCTTCTGTCCGCCTCCAACGACCGTCACCTTCAGTTGTGAGACGTAGTGCTCATAAATTACACCACATCTCTCGAAACTGTCCCATTCACGGCAAGAAGGCGAAAGTTTCAGCAGCTGGTGGCATCCGAGCAAAACGCGTTGTTCCGACTTCATCCGGTCATTCTGCGCCATGCATGTTCACTAGAATCTTGAATTTTATTGTCGCCAAGACTGTGGGATATGGATCACGAGGATCTAACAGCTCAAACAGTGTTTTTATGACCTGGCAAAGATTGGCGGGGTGCACAGACTGCGATGGGCGGGCAAGACTGTCACCACGAGCAAAAGTAGAGATTGGATTAATTATCCATCACCTCAGACTGATTGCACAAGTGGAAGCGTTGGAATCGAAGGAGAGGTGCTTAAGAAGAACATAATTTTTCCTCCTCCATTTGCATTTTGTGAACGGAGAAAATTATTCTTCGAAAATTCGCTTGTAGATATTCAGTAGTATATAAATTGTAGGTGTTTCCGAGGCTTGAAATTGGATTTTTAGAGGTTGGGTGCTACGCCGATCACGGCACTTTTTTTCAACCTAGTTTTCGTAATTGTTTAATAATCTCTACTCTTATTAATGTCCCAAAGATTTAGTGTTTACTGTCTCGATTTTCAGACGTATACAACCCTAGTTTCGACGACAGCCGACAAGGTCTTTGCCATTTAGTAACTAGACCCCGTTAAGTGCTTCAGGAGGCTGGTTACGGCCCTGGAAGTGAGATCGCATGTGAGGAGGGTAAAGCGTGTTGACGTGTGGGAAATGTGGCACTCACTACGGCATTTTCACTCCGTCTTGGTGGAGCTAGAGGTCGCATTAATCAGCATTTACAGGATCCCTGTGGTTGGAAGGACTGAAATTTTCCCACAGCTTAGTGAGAACCTGGAAATTGGAATTGATTGGAAGGTCGAGGTTTAATTATTAGGGGTAATAATAGGCACCAACGCGAGGGTTGTGTGTGGAGCTCTCGTGTGAGACCGATTGGAATCATGTTAAAAAAAACAGGTTTTCTACTCTGTTTCTGTCGTGTTTTATGGGATATTTTGAGGAGGAAGGAGGAAGAGGAGGTGGTGTTCGGCGTTCGCGCAACACATAGTCGTCCATAGTAATGCAATTAGGTGGTTATGCACTCGAGATAGGCCGATGGGATGTAGAAAGACTTTAAAAGTGTGAAATTTTTAAGAGGTGGAAAATAAGTTACCTTTCTGTATGCATCTGAATGTCATCTTCTGGCGTTAATGACTAGACAGGACACTTTTATGGTGTCAGTAAGTTATGCGTTTGTCTCAGTGCTTATGCCTCCCACATCCACAACAGCGTGGAGCACCAGAACCCATCTGACTTGGCTATCAGGATGACAAGTGTCTACAAAAGTCTTGACATACGTTGCGATGCGGATTAGCGTGTGCAAAACCCTCCACTACGATGCGTCAATCCGTTGTCATGAATTGTTTCATCAAACCGACACTGTTTGAAAAAGCACCCTTTTGATATTTACTGCAGGAGTCAGGCATGTGGATTGGATTGAGTGTAGTCAGGTGTTTCTGGTGTTTGTTTCGCTAATCCTCCTCCTCCTCCTCCTCCTCCTCCTCCTCCCTTCCTCTCTCTGCTATGACTATAATAAACCTACCTCTAGCCGCAGCAATGACTGACACGCTGCGCGGCTCCGCGTTGTTAAAAAACCCACTGTTAACCGCAACCCCCTTTAGGCGAGTGAGCCTGGTAGGCAGACTCATTTCGCAACCATCTATACCACAAAAATAAACACACCTGCACAAATCAGGATATCTTGATATTAAAACTGTCAACCTAAAATGATGCTGCAACAAGAACTCCATTGTTATGTCAATTAGCGACTCCTCTGTGGTTTATGTTTAGCTTTGCCTTACACTTAAAGTCTCGACGACAACAAAGGAAGACAGGTTTTATAACCTAATTAATTCATTACCACTTAGCAGTCTAGATGTCTGTCAAAGTACGAAGTGTTTTTTAATCACCATTAAATCTTCACTGGCGATGGTGACTACAAGAAGGGGATGTTGACGTTCTCGTTGACCGCTTGAATTCGTCCGATTCTGATTGGGCAGTCGAGTGACCTTGAAGCTTGTCACAATTATCCAACGGGAGAAGGAGACTGTTTTGCTCAAATAGGGGAGCAAACTAGACAACGGAAAAGGAAAGTGTGAATCTACGCAACCAAGTGTGGATCGATGAGAACAATAGGTGTCACTATTAAAAAATCTTACCGAAGAAAAGGGATTAGTAAGGACTAGTTTGAAGACCTCCTTCGACCTTGGATCACCTATGGCAATTTTAAGTTCTTCCATCCGCTCGTGAACACTTTTTGCCACCTTTACAAAGTACATTAATTCGTACACGTCCTAAAATGCATCGAAAAGTTAAAAAAGTAAACAAATATTGCAGAAATGAATACTCTTTCCGTTTCAAGAACTCACATCACTTAGTAGGATCCTTGGAATCTGTCGAAGGAGGTATTTTAAGGAATTAGAGAGTTTTATTCGCCGGTCTACGAGAGAGCCGATGAAGGAGGTGGATACGGAGGCGGTGGCTCGATAGACGTCTAAGGCGCGATCCAATGCCGTGTTGCAGGCTATGGTAAGATCCAATGCAGCCTTGTCAATCTCCAACATCAGCTGGTGACGTACTTCTTTTGAAGTGCTGACAACTGCTTGGTTGCGAAGTCGCTCCAGACGACTTTTTACATCAGCAGCGTGCTGAAGCGGACGAGCGAGCAGGCAAACATGGGTGAAAGTTGTAGAAATAAGTCCAACATTTGGGATTCGAGGTGGGTTGCCTGAAAAGGTGGCTGTTCAGACTTACTGTGTTAAAGTGTAGACGACAGCAAACATCGCACAGAGCAAGACCACAGAATTCGCATTCCGAGGTTTGAGCATCAATATCGCAGCACATCCTGCAGTGATGCGCCTCCATGCGTGAGTAAAGGGTGGATCTTCGACGACCCAATTTTGTCTTCATCCCTCCGCCTGTCAACGTGTCTTCATCCGCCTCATCCATTTCTGAATCGGACGTGGAGCATTCTGGAGGACTGGAGTGAAGGTGAAGGTACGTCATATAATAAGAATACGTCAATAACATCTGAAAGCATATAAGAGTTTGGAGAGATTGAGGAAGAACTTTCTAACGTGTCTTTCACTAATCCTCTCCCCCTTCTCTTTTAGTAATCGCCCTACCACCTAATTAGGCCCTCCTCATTCAATCTATCAACGAGATCTTGAAATGTACGGACCACACACCACAGTTCTACAACATCCTTGTCATCTCCTCTTCCAACTTGATGACACATGGTCGCTTTCATTGTACACCATCACCGCCGTTGTAATGATTGCAATGGAGGCGGTTGAGGGCTTATTGAGCACCAAGAGGACGACGCTCAAAGTGCGGTAGAAGGAGAGTTTTGTGGCACTTTCACTACCCAATGGTAGTGCCTTCAGCCGTTCCCTCTCCCACCTCATTTCCAGACGCTCTGCATAATTTTGGCGTCTGCACTGATTAATCTCAAAGGTAAGGCGAAATCTCCCAATCGTAAAACTCTTATTTGCATTGCAAATTTGTTTATTTTGCGTGTTTCAGAAGGGCTGACTTTGAAAGAAGGTGATGCAAAGGAACTCACGTGTTGTGGGTGGATTTCAAAATGTCATCGTCGATATCAGAGGTGGAAATGCCCAAATCCGTAGAAGTGGCACTTAATTGCTGAAAAGAGGAGAAAGGAAGTGAAAAGGGGGCATGAACACATACATAATGATGGTGACTTGTCAGAAAAATTCATTACCTTTCCAAGGCGCGTTTGTCTTCGTTTACACTGCCTGCAATCTCGGTTGCATGAGGTGATGGTGGTGGGATTGTTGGGCTGAAGTTTCGTCCTCTCTGCGTCTTGACTACACTTGTTGTTCACTCGTCTACGAAGGGAAAATAGGGGAGAGGTAAGAGATACGTCATCTGATGCTTAATTTTCTTACTTCGACTAGAGTTATCGAGGAAGTGGATCCGAAGAAGACGGAACAATGTGCATGGTAAAGTTGCTATCTCATAAACTCGCCATCCACCTTTTTTCTACTTCTCTACGGTGCTCCCTTGAGAGGCTGATCCCGCGGTTATGGGTGAGGTGCTTATCCGATCCCATTTATCTTACAATGCTGTCGTAGCTGCTATCTGCTCATGAACTTTGACCTCCATCCCCTCCTCGCCTCAATATTTTATTTAGAGGTAAACGCACCTGTGTTTGTCAATAACTTTGCGACGCTGATCCACCAATTCATCGACGTCGGAAACACCTGATGAGGAGAGCTAAAGTATGACAAAATTGTCAATCAACTACCTCTGCTTAGACGTTCATTCTAAATACTAATAAGTGACAACTTTACCGACAAGTCGATTGTGCGTCTGTACGGTCGTCGAGTCACGTTTCTAAAGCGCCCACGGCCGGATGACTGTGCTGTAGGCAACTTAGCAACATTCACCTCGGTGGTGCTGCTTGAGATGATTGAAAAGCTTCTGAAGGGGACAAAAAAGCGTAAAATTGAGAGGTAGAGAATATTCTACTTACGTGATCAAGCAGCCTCTCGCGTATCCATCCTCGCCATCGGAGTGGGTTATGTCGGAGACATCAGAAATCTTTCGTTGACATTTTTGGGGTTGGAAAAGAAAGTTAAAATTTACATTCCTAAAACTGTCCAATCAAAAATGAGGTCAGACCTCCCTCCCCAAGCTGATTGGTTAACTGAGTGGAACCATTGTCTTTATGCTTAATTGGCGTCATTGGTGAAGTTTTTTTAATTAGACTTGGAAGATAAGACCTAGATAACGCACTCATTTAACTGGATATGCATAAAAAGTCTCGAGGCAAGAAGGCACGTCACTTGGCGAATACCTCTTCACCAGGACATGTGCCGATTCACCGTGATTGCCTGCTGTTGAAAAGCAAAGCCTTGATTTTTCAGAATGGAGTTCTTCAGTGCTCTCACCTGCATGTTTCCATGATTCTCCCATTTATGTTGGGTGACTGACACCTCATCATCGTTATTTTCCACGTCAGAAAGGCTCTGGAAGCTGTGGAGAAGAGATAGAATGTGAGTTTGTCGGTAAGTGTCATAAATCATCACTCTTCTCGCTCTATCATGTGATAGTCAGTCGTTATCGTCTCAGGCACTTGTTAATTCTTGTGGTAGAAGTTAATAATCTTATCTCAACCCCACTGTGTGCTTTTTTGGACCTCATCTGATGCTGAGAGGGTGCATTCGCATTGATATATTCAATTTACACTGAGGACTTTGAGCTGAATCTCGCTGTCTTACTGATCAAGCTTGGCAGGCGTCTGGGTAAAAGACTTAAGGAGAGGAGCTCAATGAAACCTTGGAATGATTTTGTCCTTTCTAACCTCCCTCCTCCAGAGCAAAAAGTTCTTATCGAGAGTGTAGCAGCGACAATTGCTAAAAGGCGAATTATTTACTAGAGGCGACTGTCAAGGGATATATGCGCGTGACTGCTGGCTTGTACACCACTCCTGATGCTATCTGGGCAGCCAAAACGAATCCTAGGTGCGCTTGACTGATTCTACTCTTACAACAAGGAGACCAGTGCTAAGGATAAAGTAGTGATAGGATGATAGTTGGAAGACACAATGAGTGAGTTCACTCACTTCTTTTTGCATAAGAAATTGTTATCGCCATTGATATTGGGGTAAGGTTAGGAGGCAATAAAATAAAGATTCGATATCTTGTCTCATCATTCCGAAAATTTTCCTGTTTAAGAACTCGGTTTCAATACCTTCCATGGCTTTAAATATTGATAACTATGTATTGTTTTTGTA